GGGACTATTGGTAAGAGAAGTGTGGGTCAGAAGGACCCCTTTTCCACCAAACTAGCTCTGGTTTTTGAAACAGTTTGGCTCATGTTTCCACAACAGTCAACAATAAACACTCTTCTCAGGAATAAACCTGCCTCCTGTGTGAACTCTCTGTAGCTGAATAGGGTCAGCCTTATCTAGAGCCAGTGTTTGGTTTGTCCATTCTAGGCTACTGTAGAAACATGTCAGTTCAATATGATGGCCTCCAAGGAAGGCAACCTGCTGCGTCTGTAGATAAATACTCATAATAAGGTAACAAAAACACAAAGATTCTTACTGTCAGGTGATTATACACAAATAAATTAAAACATACCTATGAATATTATATTCCATTTCTGCTAATAGATCCTCCTAAAAGTTATACACTGGACTTTTAATATAGCTTATGATACTATAAGTCTCTATAGGAACATGCCTTGTGTCATGTGAACCCAAGTGTGTTGGCACAGAATCTTTAGCTTATTTATGCAGCAGTTAGTTGTCCACCATAGCATACATTTTTTCTATATTACTGTAACTATGCCGAGGCATTTGGCGGCCAATGTTCTTGTTATATTTCAGTGGTTCAGTGGTTGCATCATCCTGGAGTAGTCAACCCCCGCTCTAACACCAACATACACACTTGAAGGACCAGTGCTCTGGCTAAACACCGCCACTAATGTGCTCTAATGTGTTTAGCCAGAGGCAGGGTTAGGTGGTTATTGCAGTGAACTCGGTGTGTAATACAAGACCTCAGTGTGCTAATGGCTTCTCCTAGCTGTCACTTAACCATTTCCTTTCCCCGCACAGGAGGAAACACACACACATCCATCCATCCCGTTCATTCTTGACCCTTTGTGACCTTGTTTGAGAGTGATTTATGGGTATAACGTAGCGGTAGGAATCTAGTATCTAGGATCTGACACTTGTGTGTATGTGACTGTGAGGGGAGTGTGTGTGTCTATTTGATCTCCTCTGTGTATTTCATCATAGGTTCATAGGTCTATTTAAGTAACCGTGTCTAAATATTCTGTCACCCACCAAGTGGCACCCTGTGTAGCTTAAAAGTAGTGGCAATTACACGCCAGTCCTAGAATCTTTGTCGTGTTGACAAGTAAGTATGTATTCCAGGGAGTCTGGCCCTCCAAGGCTTCACATGTTTTGAGAATTCCATGGATCCACTTATCTCCACTCCTCAATCATCTGAAGGTGGAACTATAAGGCCTTGACTCTGGGCTGGGGTTAACCAGAGCTTTTGAAGGCCAATACTAATGTTAGCCCTTTCTCAATAACTGCATCAGAAGTGAAACTGTAAAATTCAATTTCAATTCAATTCAATTCAATTTTATGTTAGTTGTTTCTCTCTAATAGTAATAATTTTATTATAAAAGAAGCTCATAAAGTCATTGCTACTTAAGTTTATGGGGATATGTGGCTCAATAGAGCTGTGACTCTCTGTCAGCCTGGCTACAGTGCTG